AGGGGAGGAGGAGAACGACGAAGCGAGGCTTAGGCGATAAAGGTTTTTTTAGGGGAGAGAGGTCAAAAAATAAATTGCATTGTTATTATTATTATTTTTATTTTTTTTGTTAGGTACAACAATGTGAGATATAAAAATTTAAAGCTCCCACAAATAAAAAAAAGAAAGATAAATAAATGTCATTTTTCTACTAAATAGACTCATTTTCACGCCACACAAATTAGATTTAATATTGTAAAGTTAATAAATTAGGAAAAAAGTATCAAAGGAGACTTGAATATAACCATATTACAAAATTTACAAGTTAAACTATATATTTTGAAAATTTAAGAATGAAAATAAGATTAAAAACTAAAGCTTCGTTTACTTACTGAGAATTCAGAGTAAAAATTAATCGAATGTTATTATTTTATTACCGTGATAGTAAAAGCACGGTTAAAAATGTCATAGGAGTGGTGGTGGGAAATGGGAACGTGGGACAGTTATTATTTGTGTCTGTTCCTACGTAATACATTTATTATCTCACCAATGAAAGAGGTTCAGCGGTTTCACATCACGTCTCATCAGGGGCCCACTCTCTGATCAACGGCTCAAATCTCTCCTCCTCTGCTGTCTATTTTACGTTTCCGTACTTCCCAAATTTATTAAAAATTCCCAATTAAACTCATTCGCTAACAAAATTGTTAAAAACTTTCTTAATGCATCATTATATATTATTACTTCATTAACCATAAATATACTTTAACCATACTTTTCATCAACAAAATTCTGTTCAGCATGCTCTTTTATTTTGCAAGTTCGTGGCCGATGCAATTGAGTCAATCTTCAGATTTTCGAGCATAATCGAATTTGTGAGTGCCACGAACAATCCAATCCAATTTATGTTAAGTCAGAATCTTCCTTCTTAAGTAATCAAATTATCTCTAAACAATTTGATTTCACTTGTATTTCTCTAATTTGTTTGTTCCTTGCCAATTTTAGTCATTCGTGGATGGCCAATGACCTTCAAGAATTTCATTTTTTGGTTATTTATTAAAAAAAAAAAGATTTGTCTAAAACATGTTTAACTAAGAAGCTTTCTTACTAATAATGTTCTCATTTATACCATTATTATGTGACCTCAAACATTTTATATCTCCTTTTTTTAGAATTTTAAATTCGTCAATTACAAAATTTTGGGAATATTTAATTTATTAATGTTTGGAGCTTTTACTTGTGCAAATATAGATAAATTTAAAATTCACAATATTGAGCGAATTAGAAAATAATAGACAAGTTATATTGAAATGAATGGTTATGATAATTATCAATAAATAAGAAAATAAAATAATTTCTTCAAAAAAAAAATAATTGGTTAAGTCAATTATTGATTTTTTAGGTGTATATAAAAAGAATTAGTGGAATAAGCTATTTAAATTTGTAGGTCTTTCATGACTTAAAATGAGAAAAATAGAGACAACTAAATCTCAATATGGATCATCGTAATCAATATGTTTTAAATATCAATGTAAAATTATTGTGGTATTTATTGTTCATATGAACAAAACTAAATTCATTTAAAAAGAATAATAGAGTGAGTTAATGTAAACTAAAAATTACAATGATCATATGAAGGGAGCAAAAATTGAGAGTCATTTTTTTATTTCGAATCAAGGGTGATTAATAGAATGATTTGTAAAAAATTATAGCATTGTAATAATTATTAAAAATAAAAGCACGTTACAATATATAATTAGAGAATGTTTGGAAGTGATTTTAGCACGGCTAGAGTTACATTACCCTTAAAATAACTTTCTTTTTTAAATAGACATGTTTCACAATGATTCATAAGTGATTTTTGGGAAAATAAAAAAATAATTAATAGAAATTAGTATTCAAATTTTTTTTATGCCACAGGCATAAATAAATAATATAGTAAAATTAATTAAAAAAATTTCAATCAGCTACTTGTTACTAATGGAAAGTAGAACACTTGGAGGGTTTTTTTTCTTCTTTTAAATTTAATTATGTGTGAGAGGAAGGATATCTAACCTTTAATAAAAGATTAACATTATGTAAAAATTTCTATTGTCGATACTCCATTGGTATTGTTGAACATAAAAAATTTATATTTTTCAAATATTTGGGACTAAAATTTAAAATTAGAATATATATTTTAAGCTCTATTTGACACTGTTTCGTTTTTTTATTTTCTATTTTTAAAAACTATATTTAATTTCTCGGTTAAAAAACACATTTAGTCTTTATACTCTGACTAAAGTAACGATTTAATCTTTGTACTTTCATTAAAATAACGATTTAGTTCCAAAACTTTAATTTGTAATGATTTAGTCCCCGTAGTTTAAATTTTGTAACAATTTAGTTCACATCGTGAAAAATCTTATTAAAATTACATGTTAAGTTTTATCATATAACAATTTAATCTTTCTAATTTATAAACATATTTGGTCATTCATTGGTTTATCAATCCATATATATAAGAAACTTAACAAAAAAAAAATCATGATAAGGACTAAATCGTTAAAAACTTTAAAATACAAATACTAAATTGTTACATATTAAAGTTTGTGGACTAAATTGTTACCCATTTGAAAAGTACAGAGACTAAATCGTTACAAATTAAAGTTTATGGACTAAATCGTTAAAGTAGTGGGACCAATGTATTTTTTAACCTAATTTCTCACAATCTATTCATAATATTTTTCTTTGAACGACATCTGTATTTTTGGCCAAATTTAAAGAGAATAAAGATTTTAAAAACTACTTTTTATATTTAAAGCGTTTAAAAAAAGGTGATAACAAAGAAAAAAGAAGAAAAAAGATAAATTTAAATCTTTTAAAAATTGAAAAAAAAAAGATTGTGTTCAAATGGGCATGATACGTTAAACATTTGGCAAATTACGGAAAAAAGATATTTCATTCAAAAATTAAATTACTTTTGTAATAAATTTGGCAATTTATAATTATTCTTCTCTAAATATATATTAAAAAAACAACAGATTGCATTAAAGTAATGATTATTAAAAAAAAACTATAAATAAAAAGTGAAAAAAAGGTGAAAAGGAAAAAGTGTTTGATAATTACAAAGATGAAAATTGAAATATGGAATAGAAGCTTTTTGCCGTCGAAAATTGAAAAAATGGGTCATATCATATCTCTTCTCGAGATTGGAGTTTCCCATTCAAACAAATATATGAGAGGAAATCACTCTCTTCCTTTATAAGATTGTATTTTTATGGTTTAAATATTATTTTGGTGGACATATTTTTATTTTTGTTTATAATATTTATACTTTTAAAATATATCGTTCGATTCTTGTATATTTAAAAAATTACTATGTCATTTTTTTCAATTTCATTTTTATCTTAATTCTTTCATTAGAAATGAGACTCTGCCACTTTTCTTTTGTTTTTTTGAGTACAACATGTGGGGGTGGGGATAACCTCATAGTTGGAGGTACATGTCAATTACCACTGACATATGAGACTCGTCACTTTTATTTGACGTATGAGGATGTACCCACGATTTGATGTGATTATGTCTCAAAATTAGTTTGCTACTGCTAGAGATTCTACCATCGCAACTAAGTTCGATGCCTAATGACTTCAATATCGTTTACAATGCATATTAAGCAACTTTTGAATTCTACTTTTAAAACTCCGTTCTTTAATTTTGTTTAGACTTTGATGTTTGTCCATTTATCATCTTTGGTCATGGTCAACACCCAAGTTATCACATATTTATCTCATGTTACTTTTAATCTAGGTCAACTAGCTACCAAATACCATTTTAGTTTAATATGATGATGCAAGGTCTATATCAAGTATTCATTATTAGATACACAAGTACTTTTACCTGACCAAGTAGCTTACATAAAATAACACATTTATTTCATCCAAACCCCGAGTTAGATATTCCTATCTAGAACAATAAAATATTTAAAATTCATTTTTCGATCCATTTCCAATTCTAGTTCAATGGATTCTATAGCTTATCCGCCATTTTAAAGGAAAAAAAAAGACAATGAATATATTACTAGAGTTACTTGATGGGTATGCGAGAGCTTCTCGCTTTCATTTGAGACAAATATTCAACTACTCTTTTTTTTCTTCTTATTATCGATGATAGATTTTTAGTATCTACAAAATTACATATTTTATGTGTTTCTTCCACCTTATCTTTACTCTCTACTCTCTAATAGCAAAGGATTCTAAAACTCAATAACGAACATAATTAAAAAAACCATATTGAAGTAAAGGTGAATTTTCACAAAGAATTTCCAAAATCTTTCCTAAAGAAGAAAACATATAGTAGATCTTTTGTCAAAATAAGCTTTTCAATGAATTATGTATGTGACCTATAATGTTCACCAAACATCTTTCTCCCTCTTCAATAATTTCCTCTGCTACCATTACTCATCATCAAATAACCATAAAAGAGAAGGTACATTTTTACTTGTTTATCCTTTACTGCAAAAGAAGGGAAAAAAAAAAGATGAAACGAGAAAAACGTTCGGTAAACTATCAACAAATCCTTTGTTCATTATATAAAAGAGATATTTGTTGGCCATTTCATAAACTATCAACAAATCCCTTGTTCATTATAAAAAAGAGATATTTGTTGACATTCGAAATAGTTTTTGATGAAAAATTTGAGGGAAACTCATCTACATAAATAAATTTTCATTGAACAGTGGTAATTAGTATATGTCTCTGACTAAGAAATCATGAACTTAAATTCTTCATCGGATCAGATTGGTTGTACTGAGAAACAAATTTTTATAGAAGAAAATGTTCACCATCTTATTCTTGGAATCTTCCCAACAAATGAGGTTTTTTCTCTCCTTCATTGCAACAATGAGTGAGGATTTGATGAAATATGAACAAAACATTTCAAATCACCAAATGGGGTGAAAAGAGAGAAAAATGGGCAAACGGGTTAGTTAATAAAGAACAATACTTGACTTCAATTTCATCCCTGATTCTATAAAAATCACACACTGACTCCAGCACTCTCTCTCATACGCGTAATCACTTTCTCCCTCTCTCTCTAGAGCCTGTCCTCACCTTTTCCCTAATCCCTGGTACAGAAAAGACAGCGAGAAATAATATTGGTTGCGTTGATTGATTGTGTTTTACAGAGTACCCAACAAGAGAGAGAGAGAAACAGAGGGAGGGGTGAAGGGGTTGTTTCTGGAGTGGCCGAGTACCCAGCAGTGGCAATTAGTACCTTCCACCACCACTACTTGTGCCTTTGCTGGTTTCCCAGCAGATTTCCATTTCGTCTGTTACAATAAACGACCAAGTTTTCTCTCGACCATTTCAAACCCCTTCTGTGTTTCTTCATTGTCTACCCAGTTTATATTATTCAATTGAAACTCTGGTACTGGAACCCCACCCCCATCATTTTCTTTTACCTGAAATCATTGTGTTTGCTTCTGGAGATGCAAATGCCCCAGAACCTCTAATTGGGGTTCTACTGTACTGAGATCTGCCTCTCTATTTGCTTCCTGCTTCCACCTTTTGCCATTTTGGGGGCTGAGATCTGATACCCACTTGCTGGAATTCTTCGCTCTTTAACTACACAACCCAACTTCGGGTGAATTTGTTGGGCGCTGGATATTGGGTTTTGTTTGCCCTCTCTACTTCGAGTTGCTGTGGCATGAAGTCGCCGATTGGAGAGTTGGGTCAGTGGGGGGTTTGGGGAGAGAGAATCAGATGCGGGTGAAGTTGAAGTTGATCGTCTTTTGTAGTGAAACCGGCTTTGGCTGAGAGAGATTTTGGGCGGTGGGGGTTGGGGGGGTTTCACTTCGTCATATTCTCAGATGAGGTTTCACTGTTTGTAGTTTACTTTTTTGAAGATTCAGATTGATTTTGCTGGTCGATTTATGGTATTTCTGTAGTGGAAAAAGAAAAGGGTCGCAAAAAAAAAAGGTTGTTCTGCAGTCGTTGTTGTTGCGTTCTTGGAAGATACTTTGGTGCTTCAAATTTGTGGGTCAATTTGTTTTTTTAGGTTGGATCTCAGTAAAATGAGGCTTTCAACTGCTGGTTTTAGTCCTCAGGCCCCGGAAGGTATAAGTTTCCTCTGCCCCCTTTTCTTTTTCTTTCCGAAGGATGACACTACTTTTTCCATAAGCTAAGATGCTGATATTCCCTGTTTGTTTCCCGAGAAAATCCCGGGTTGCTGCTACCACGCTTGATTTCTGCTCTTATTTTTCCTCTGCTTTCTGGAAGTCCTAACTTTGCTGGGTCAATTTCTCTGTCAAATGATCCCCTCTCTCTGCTGTGTGTGTTTTTTTTAGTAAAATTTATGATGTTGATGCTGATCTTTTGATAAAATGCTAGGATTTATTGAAACTCAACATCAAAATTTTCAGGGGAAAGAAGAGTTCTTAACTCGGAGCTTTGGCATGCGTGTGCGGGTCCTCTTGTTTCTCTACCTGCTGTTGGAAGTCGCGTTGTTTATTTTCCACAGGGTCATAGTGAGCAGGTAAGCTCTAAGCCTATGAGTATTATTCTTTTGCAAAAATTGAGATCAGAAACCGACTCTCTTCAGATGGGGAACTTATTTGCCTATCGTCTAAATAATCATTTCATGCTTTTGCGAGTTCCTTGAAACTCTTGATTCCTGTTCATCACTTGTTTTCAATCTGGCTGAAATGGACTTGTTCCTTCTAATCCAAGAGGATGTTCTTGGAGATTTCCATTTGTGTTAAGCTTCTTATTCTTATACGGTACTGTGCTTGCATTTCTTTGTGTATTCTGGCGATTGTTAGAGTTCCAACTCCTCAATTAATCTTTTCCAAAAAAATTTGCTTGTCATCTACCTTCCTTCTATTTTGTTCCTGTTGTTCCCTTTTGCCCGATCCATCTTATAGCCTTGAGAAGTTTGATTTTTTAAAGCTGACATTTTCCGTACTTGCTTCTCTATGCTATTGTCGTTTTTTCTTCCGTTTTTTTTAGATTTTTTTTACTGGTGTTTAATGGTTTGAAAGGGACATAAGTTGCTAATGTATTATTCATTTATATGGAGTAGGTTGCCATATCAACCAACAAAGAAGTTGATGCTCATATACCTAGTTATCCAAGCTTGCCGCCGCAACTTATCTGTCAGCTTCACAATGTTACAATGCATGTAAGGCTTGTCATTTACTTTTATCATGGCTTTGGACGAAGTCCGAAGGCTTTCTTATTGGATGAATTGGTGATTGCAGGCAGATGTCGAGACGGATGAAGTGTATGCTCAGATGACCTTGCAACCGCTCAGTGCTGTATGTTACATTTGCTCGAATGGCGAAGTTATTAGCCTTGGAAGAACTTCATTTCCTGAAAATTTTAATATTTTTTGTAGCAAGAGCAAAAGGAGCCTTATCTTGCAGCTGAGTTGGGTGCTCCCAGCAAACAACCAACCAATTATTTTTGTAAGACATTGACAGCAAGTGACACGAGTACACATGGAGGATTTTCTGTTCCTCGCCGTGCTGCTGAGAAAGTGTTTCCTCCATTGGTAATCCTAAAGATGCCTCTGAAACATGACCTTAAATCTAGATTGATGTAGTTTGAAAATGTTTTAACAGAATAATATCGAATTTCGCTTGTAGGACTTCTCTCAACAGCCACCTGCTCAGGAGTTAATTGCAAGGGATCTTCACGACAATGAATGGAAATTTAGGCATATCTTTCGTGGTGAGTTTTGTGGAGTTAGTGATTTTTCAAAAAACCCCTCACTCTCTCCCAAACAGTTTATATGGCTAATTATAATCCCTCTGCAGGTCAGCCCAAAAGGCATCTTCTTACAACTGGATGGAGTGTGTTTGTAAGTGCTAAGAGGCTTGTTGCTGGCGATTCCGTGATCTTTATTTGGTTTGTTTCTATGCTCTTCCTCATATGTAGGCTTGATTAGTTAATACTTATAAATAAAACTTCGGCATTCATGTGACCGAAAGCTACATGACTGTGCATCATAAGGCTGGCTGTTCACTCATTTAGACTCCTAACATTTATTCCTTTCAAATTTATGTCATTTTTGCAATGCTTGGACTTAGATGCACTTTGCCCCCTTCAGGAATGAAAAGAATCAATTACTGCTAGGAATCCGTCGAGCTAATCGACCACAGACAGTGATGCCTTCATCGGTTTTATCCAGTGACAGCATGCACTTGGGGCTTCTTGCTGCTGCAGCCCATGCAGCTGCTACAAATAGTCGGTTCACAATATTTTATAATCCAAGGTGTGTTTTTTGTGCAATTCTTGAACCTGGTTAGTTTTGTTTATTACTCTTTCAAGTCACATTAATTTTTCATCCAGGGCTAGCCCATCAGAGTTCATCATACCCCTGGCCAAGTATGTCAAAGCTGTGTACCATACCCGTGTTTCCGTCGGTATGCGTTTTAGAATGCTATTTGAAACTGAAGAATCAAGTGTTCGTCGGTAGGTTTCTAGACTGTTATAGTTATATCATATATGTACTTTAAGTTAACTGAACACTGTTAATTACTTGTTGTGGGGTATGTTTTTATTTCATGTGATCTTACATACATCAAAGAAATGCTGGACAACTGAGTATAGAATCATTAGATTTGGATATTGAACTTTCGCATTTAATTGTCATATTTATTTTGTTCTTGCTCATGTTTACAATTTTGTGGGATCATTATATTGAGGAATCATGGACATCTAAGAGTTGTATGTTTTCCAGTTATATGGGCACCATTACTGGCATCAGTGATTTAGATCCTGTTCGATGGCAAAACTCACACTGGCGCTCCGTTAAGGTTCGTTTATGTTTCCTTTTACAATGAAATTCGTATCAAATATTTGAACAGGCTATCTTTTACCATCAAGCATCGTTAGGTGTATTCAGATTTTAATTGCAGTAGTAATTTCTTGATTTTTTGCATTATGTAGGTTGGATGGGATGAATCTACGGCTGGGGAGAGACAGCCAAGGGTCTCCCTGTGGGAGATTGAGCCGCTAACAACCTTCCCAATGTATCCGTCTCCGTTTCCCCTTAGGCTTAAGCGACCGTGGCCCACTGGATTGCCCTCTTTTCACGGTATAATAATACAGAGTTCATGCTTCTTAGGGACTAGCATAATACATTTTTATTGCTGTATAGTTTAGAAGTCCGGTTTGTGGTTTCTAACAAGCTCCATGATTCACTTTTCTGTCTCAGGTCTCAAAGAGGACGATATGGGATTAAATTCTCAACTAATGTGGCTACGGGGAGATGGTCTAGATCGTGGAATTCAACCCCTGAACTTCCATGGACTCGGAGTTGCACCATGGATGCAGCCAAGGCTTGATGCTTCTATGGTAGGTTTGCAGCCGGAGATATATCAAGCAATGGCTGCTGCTGCACTACAGGAGATGAGAACCGTTGATCCCGCCAAAGCGCAGGCGGCTTCGCTTCTCCAGTTCCAACAGAACCCAAGTCTCCCCAACAGGCCTGCTACCTTCATGCCATCTCAGATGTTGCAGCAGCCTCATCCTCAGCCTCAACAGACCTTTCTTCAATCTGATCATGAAAACCAACATCTCTCTGTGTCACAGGCCCAAACCCAGACTTCTGTTCTTCAGCAGGAGATTAAGCATCAAACTTTTAACAACCACCACCAGCAGCCGCCACCACCGCCACAGCAGCAGCCGCAACCGCAACAGCAAGTTTTTGATCACCAACAAGTTCCAACCACAATGTCTTCAATGTCGCAGTTTGGTTCTGCATCGCAATCTCAAGCACAATCTCTGCAATCCATTCCTCCTTTGTGCCGGCAGCAAAGTTTTTCTGATTCAAATGCCAACCACGTGACGAGTCCCATGATTTCACCATTGCACAGCCTCTTAGGCTCATTTCCGCAAGATGAATCGTCTCAGTTGCTTAATCTGCCTAGAACCAATCCCATGATGCATTCATCTACATGGCCTTCGAAGAGAGCTGCAGTGGATCCTCTTCTCTCTTCTGGAAATTCTCAGTTTGTTCTTCCCCAGGGGGAAAATATGGGGACGACTCAGACTACTAATATCTCCCAGAATGCTATTTCATTGGCGCCGTTTCCTGGTAGAGAATGCTCATTAGATCAAGGGAATGGCGATCCGCAGAGCAATCTTCTCTTTGGTGTCAATATAGAGCCTTCCTCTCTTCTGTTGCAGAATGGCATGCCAAATCTTAGGGGAATTTGCAGTGACAGTGACTCAACAGCTATACCTTTTTCATCCAATTATGTGAACCCTGCTGGTACCAACTTCTCTGCAAATCCAGCCGGGACACCTTCAAATTGCATTGAGGATTCGGGTTTCTTGCAGTCTCCAGAAAACACAGGCCAAGTAAACCCACCAACCAGAACCTTTGTAAAGGTTGCTCTCTCTACCGAACCCTCTCTCGATTCAATTCATTTCTCTTGCTTTCTTTCTAGTCTGCATTTCCTTCGTTTGTTCTCTCTTTGAATGTATTATTGAATTCTTTACAGGTTTACAAGTCGGGGTCCTTCGGTAGATCACTGGATATTTCCAAATTCAGTAGCTACCATCAGTTACGCAGTGAGCTCGCTCACATGTTCAGCCTTGAAGGCGAGTTGGAGGACCCTTTGAGATCAGGCTGGCAGCTTGTATTTGTTGACAGGGAAAATGACGTCCTTCTTCTTGGGGATGATCCCTGGCCGTGAGTTCCTTCCCTCTCTTCATCTTCCTTTCTATGCATAATTACATCCTTTAACAATTTCGATCTTGTTCCTCATTCGTTGCGGTAGCTTTGTTTTGTCCAAACTCCTTATCCTTTCTTGACGAGCGCGGTAATGTCTTCTCTTCAACAGGGAGTTCGTCAACAGCGTGTGGTGCATCAAAATACTCTCACCACAGGAAGTGCAGGAGATGGGCAAACGAGGCCTAGAGCTCTTGAACTCAGTACCGATTCAGAGGCTCTCGAATGGCAGTTGTGATAACTATGCCAACAGACAGGAGTCATCCAGAAATTTGAGTACCGGTATAACTTCGGTCGGGTCGCTCGAGTACTGAGGCATTTAACCGGTCAACATGTCTTCTCTGTACTATTAGCTCTCTCAGTTA